AGAAAACCGAAAATACATTTGCCCGAAATAACGTTTGCATGAACTTCCATAATCCCGAAAGTATTTTTTTAGGTTTTTCGGGAGAAATATGTAGGCCATACCCTACATTTATTTCTCTCGTGAGTTTGGGTGTAATTTGTGGTTGTCTATATGTGTCTCCATGGCACCCGCGACACAGGGTTTCCCTAATACGGGGCAATGTTGTGTGTGTGTGCGTTATTATAATTATTGGCAATGTTGAGTGTGTGCGTTATTATAATTATTATTATTAATTAGTACCTAAGTGTTTATTTTGGAAAGCGTTTCTCTTGCGGAATCAATATCGCGCATTTTAATTTTGTAATTATCTCACAACGGCAAATACCCTACTACCGTCATAGCTGTACTTTTTCAAGCACAAGAAACATTTGCAAGAACTATGAGCAGTACGACTATGCCTGTTGGCGGAATCAACCGTTGTCAGTGATAAACCGTAATAATTATATTGAATCAATGTAAGCACTACGGCATATAGAAAAGTGGTGACGTTTTTGAGCGCAGTATATTTTCAGTACTATGCACGAACGACGAAAAAGAAAGGAAACCAGAGCTGATGCAAGCTTGATAAAAGACCATAATATTAAAGCTTTGGTATGTGATTACATCAATGAGTGAACTGTGCATAGAAAGAGAGAATACAGGAATTTATCCAGGAAACATAGCTTTAACTTAAAAAGAAAGTGACAAGTATTAACAGAGAACATCTTACACCGCCAAAATTCATTAAAAATCAAAAGTTGGATGAATGACAAAATATACCAACTTAAGAAACAAAGAAGGTAATCGAAGCAGGCTGACAGTGCAAATTAAACAGGATTTCTTTAAAAGTTTAAGCAATTTGTAGCTTTCACATGCAAACAATGCATAATTATACAAATAGTACAACCTTGATAGCCTAACGGTTTGCACTGTGGGCACTGGATGAGAAGTTCCTGGGTTCGATACCGGTAGGATCAATTTAACAAATTAACTTTTCTAAATGGTTCTGGTCTTGGTATTCTATTGTAAGACCATCACCTGGTCTGAAACTAGGGAACTCTCTGTACATACTCCCCATGAGTATCAGAGCAACAGAATCCCAGAGCAGAACCAATTTACAAAAGTTCATTTCCCAAATTGGTTCTACTGGGAATCGAACCTGGGACCACGAACGATCGAATTTATTCCGGGGCATAACTCAGAACACCCAGGCCAAAACAACTTTCGAAAAGTTCACATTTAGTTTTATAGTTGATTGAACTGATTGTATACGGTTTTAAAAAAAATTCTCGAATAACTCGAGAAATCGGGTACGAGAATTCTCGAAACTCAAGAAAAAAAGTCAGACACCCTAGCTCGTAATAAATGGCATTGTATAAAATTCAACATTTACGTATAAAATTTATTTATAAAGTGTGTTCAAGTAATTTTCACTAGAAGCTACATATAGGTGCATTTTGGTAAGTTTCCAGTAGAAGCTGATGGTGTTTTTTTGCGCCTTTCAATTGTTGCAAGCAAAATTACGCAGTACTACAATGACATTACAATTTAAATTCAACGTTTTAGCTTTTTATATTCCTTTACATGTCACTACGTTTAAATAGGTTGACTTGGGACATTTTTTTCGTGATTTTTGTATTCGACCCGTCGTCCATTTATTTGTAAGTCAATGGTGTCAAACACAGAAATCGAAAATACGTAACGTCATCTTAAATGCCAACTATGTCCATTTTGTAGTACATGAGACACATGATACGGTTGACAAAGGGAAGGACATCAAGTGTTTTATTGAATTATTCGCATGTATTGTAATAAAATGTACAAAAATATTGACAGTGAGAACAATTAAGTTTTAATAAAAATTCGTCGCTGCAGCGTTACGGGATGTGGCATTTGAAAAAGCGAAGATCGACCGAATGTAACATTGTATAGGCACGTGTTATTTGTCTGTCTATAAATCACACAAAAGCCCAAATATCTCGTGTAATTAGACATATTTAAGTAGTTTATTCATAAATCTAGTCAAATTTTGCTTTGGTTACTTCAGATTGCCTGTTTCTTTGTATATTTTAATGATTGTTGTTAACGATTATTTTGAGATAGCGTTGTTCTTGGAAGCGTACATACTATCTATATTCTGTTATTAAAATAATTAACTACGAAGTTTTATTATTATTATTATTACTATTTCAAGTTTACCTACAAATCAAAAAGAAAATAGAATGGTTGGAAATGAAACATTGAATCAAAAACCATCTTCATTTATTCGCTTCATTTTGATGAGTCAAATTTTAACATAACTTTGTAACTAGATTACATCATAATGCAATTTCATCATTAGGTTTATTGGTAAATAATTTTATATTTAACTCATTTACTAGGCATTCTCAGTTCCTGAAAACAAAATTATCCACTCGTTTCGCGATTTTTTCCCACTGACAACTCTAACTACTAAAAATTCTTATTTTATAAAGCCAGCAATACAAAGACCATGTTGGTCTCACGATGCCGGGTGAAGGCCAATACCAACGTATAGACAGCCTATTTGCCTTGCCTTGCCTTGCCTTGCCATCGTTCGGGGTCACTCGCCTAGCTGACCGAGTGAAGGCGAGCGCTAACGTGTATAAAGTTCGTTTGACGTGGTTTGTCACAACTCGCAGTCGCTCGTGACTACTTGTCTTACTTCGAAGAAGTGTCGATTTTTCTGCACAAATCAAAGGCGCTCGGCCAATAGTAGTCAATTGACATTGTATAATCAGACATTTGCATGCTGTTTAATACATACGTAACATGTTTATACTAACACTATCTATTGTCACATCTCCTGTTATACCATATTTTAAGCAAATAAACGTATGATAATAATATTATTATTGATAATATTACTACTTTAATTTATTTCCAAAACTAAATGAAATTATTAAAGATTCACTTAAATCAGTCACTGATATTAATTCTATGCAAATGCATAAATACAAAAAGCTTACACTATTTGGGATCTGTTTAAAAAATCTGTATGAAAATAAGACTTTTGAGGTTGTAAATGTATAGGATTTATATTTTAAAGTTTTCTTTTTTTATATACTCTCAAATTACAAATATTATTTTTTTCTGTACAAATTCACTTTTCGTAATATTTGAGTAGGTATTTGTAAACGCAAAACAATAAATTCAAAATTTCATGTGATATTCCCGGATATTCTCATAATAACCTAAAATATTCCCAAATGGAATATTGATCTATTTTAATTTTGCATTTCGATAATGACTTATCGATAGATTATGGTACGACACTAAATAAATCCGCCATTTGTTCGTTAAATTTTTGTTTAGGTATGCACATTCATTCTGTAGTTAGGGCAGCTCCTTTCTTTTATTTTTTTTTCCATCCTCTAAGCATTTCGACATTGAACACATAAACATGTTATTGTCTTTGTTTAACTACTGTGTGCCGCCGTAAGCCAAAAGAGATAGCATTACATTGGTTTGTGCCAAACACGGGAATCGAACATACGTTACGTCATCTTAAACGTCAACTGTGTGCATTTCGCCATCTTTGGAGTACCGACACCAAATGTCAAAACAAATGTTTCGTCCAACGTTTTATTGAATTATTCGCATGAATTCTAATTAAATGGACAAAAATATTGATAGTGAGAACAATTAAATATTGATAAAAATATGTCGCTGCAGCATTCATGGATGCGGCATTAGTAAAAGCGAAAATCAACCGAATGTTAAATCTAACATTATAATGGCTATTTTTCTGTCTATATATCTCACATGATAGCCCAAATATCTCATGTAATTAGACTTATTTAAGTAGTTTATTCATAAATCTTGCCAAATTTTGCTTTGGTTACTTCAGATTGCCTACTTGTTTGTATATTTTAATGATTGTTTTGTGATAGTGTTGTTCTTGTAAGCGTATATATTATCTATATTCTGTTATTAAAACAATTCACTGCGAGGTTTTTATTACTTCATTATTATTACTTTTACTATTACAAGTTTAACTACAAGCGAAAAAAGAAAAGAGATTGGTTGGAAATCATAGAACTGCCGAATATAAACATTGGATCAAAGACCATCTTCCTTTATTCGTTTCATTTTGAAGAGTCAAATTTTAACAGAACTTTGAATGTAACTAGATTACATGATAGTGCAATTCAATCATTAGATGTATTGGTAAATAGTTTTATATTGATTATAGGTATTTTTAATCAGTATTATTACAGTAATAAATAAAATGAACTCAATAATTAAGAACTGAAATCATCACCTAACGAAAAATTTCGAATATGCGTAACAATTCTATTTGGTAATTTTCAGTTTAATATCCATAGAACGTAACTGAGATGTAGGTACTACTATACTATCTCAGATTCGTTCTATGGATAAAAAATTCACCAAAGTACACGTTTTGACCAAAATAACGTAGGTCATAACAAGACGAGTAGTTTACAAAAAAATAAATAATTCAGTAAAACATACTAAAAAAATACTGTCAAACTATTTCTCGACTGGAAGAGTTGATTGAATCTATATTTTTGACGTGTCCCATCACAACCTTTTTCCGTCGGACATAACTCCATCGCGTGTAATTGTGAATATAAATATTAGTAACATCTTAAAGTAAATATCTCGCAAAGTGATATATCTCCTTAAGATTGGTAGATTTCAATGATCATAAGCAACGTAAAAATGATAAAATATTTATTATTTTATCGTGTTTCAAAATATATAATTTATAGAAAACTGCAACAAAAAATGATAAAATATTTATTATTTTATCGTGTTTCAAAATATATAATTTATAGAAAACTGCAACAAATTTCTAATTTTGTCGAAGTTAAATTTTACAGAGAAAAACAAAAGTATCCTTTCTGTATAAGGAGACGTTTAAGGCAAAGAAAATATCATTTCTGTATAAAGAGACATTTAAGAAAAAGAACAAATTTTTAAAGACAACCTCTGTATACTACAAATAAAACAATTAATACGCAACATAAAATAGGTGTAAGTACGTTAAAACTATCCAATTAGAACAATATCAGTTTTCAGCCTTCTCTATATTTATAATGCTTCTTTTCTTTTCCTTGTACCTCTGACAGTCGTGTCTTTGCCGGTTTTTCCTTTCTTACAAATAACTTGAACAGACTTATCTTCTTTATAATCGTGATGCAGAAACTCGCGGAAACTAAATGGGTGGAACATGTAGCCTCCGCCAGAGTAGAACTTACTCATAAATTCGACCCTGCGTAATAGAAAATATTCTTATTTCGGTGTTCCTTCTAGTGGTGATTCTTCATTGGGTGCTATCCTACTTTCTTAGAGTATCTACTATTTTCGCGCAAAGTAGAATATACAGAATAAATAATAGGTTTCTACCGGAGTGTTTTTCAGGTGTTACATACTTTTTACCCACGTGGTTCACAATATATATTATTTTTAAAAACCTGCTTATTATTTTGCAAAAATGCTTAGTTTATTTTTATGAAGTTCTCTTACCAGTGTAATCGTAAAGTGTGAAGGAACGCAGATAGCCCCTCCATAACGACGAGTATTGCAAAGGAGAAGGTAGCCCATACGCCGAACACTACAAACAACTTTACGGATCCTAACAAGCTTGTGGCTCGCAAACCATTTTTTGATAGTAACATCAGCCAGAGCATTTCAGATAACTCTGTAAAGTTTAAAAATAAGTTAACTCTCACATTTTACTACAAGTGTCGATCACAAAACTGGATGTTACAAAAAATGTTTAGTCAAATGGCAACTCATCAGTGGACATAGACAAATTTGTCAGTGCTGTTGAATTTTGTAACAGCAAAAGTAAATTTTTTAACCAACTTTTTTAAAACGCATAAGTTTTTAGTATTCAATATGACACAACTGCAACTACAGTGGTAGCCTGACTTTCTTTTATATAATACATAAGAATGTTGACGAGATCAACCGCCAGTGATAAAGCGTAGTTATTACCACTAATATTGAATCTATGTCAGGACTAGGGCACTATAAGTAGTGACACTCTGGTAAGCGGTAGTATTTAATTACTGTGCACAAACGAGTTAAAAGGCACATTAAAAAATCTATTAATCAATTATACTTAACTAATATTGTTCAATTTCAAAACACTTTTTATATCGCAAAGTGCGTTGGGGTTACAATGTAGCGTGATCATGACTATGAATGAAAAAAATGTTTAATAAATAATTTTGAAATTCGGTATGTAAAGGTAAAAATGACAACAAAAAGCTTTTGTTCTTATGGTCCCGAATACGCTACGGTTTAGATGTCCAACGTCGTTATGTTCCGGCTGGGCCCAATTGTTCGCTTTACAAATCTACGTTGTTTTGTTAAGTGGGGTTACGGCATATTATAAAATTCAGATGATACAGATCCATTTACTTCTGAGTATAAATACTTACTACTAAAACAAGTACTAAACATGCGCAAGATTTTATTTTAAATTACATTTATTATGTGAATTGAATTGTCATTCTTGTTTTTTACTCCTTATTTTTTGGTTGTTCTAAAACTACTCATGAAGGGAAAAATAATCATTATTGAAAATTTTTCTTTAATACTGGGGGTCGTATTCCAGAACTCTACTCAATGTTCAAGTCAGGACTTGAGTATGATTTCAAGTACTGGAAATACGACCCTAATGGCAAGCACTTGAATATGATTTCTAGTGCTTTAAATCATACTCAAGTCTTGACTTGAACATTGAGTAGAGTTCTGGAATACGACCCTAAGAGCAGTTACACACGGCGACTTTTAGCAGCGATACAATTCCGTAAACACGTGATTACATCGCGACACGAGCGATTTACAGACGGTTGCACCGATAAAACACGCCATTGCGTCGATGTAAACGCGCGTCGGCTTCGATGCAGTGACTTACGTTGAAACATTAAATAAGTGCATCGCGATTGAATATCATCAAATTGTACTAACGGCCGTGAGCTAGTGATAATGCCCATAAACGAAGGTAAGAAGCAGTATGAGATACACAGCTCAGAACGAACTCTATCGTATGCACAGCTTGGTGAATCATTAGTTCGCCGAACGTATGAGAGTATTTGTGCACTTCTAGCTCCAGTAGTTCGCGTTTTCTATCCATTTTCGTCTCACCAATTTCTTGTTTATGCCGTTTCAATCGTTCCTGCCGTTTGATTAGAAATTAATTAATAAGAAGGCTATTAATAACTAATGAACTACGATTTATTGAGAAGTGCCTTTAAGTTTCAAACGATTACGAGCATAACATCCAAACAAAGAATCTCCTGGTGTTATCCCTACAACATTTGCAGTTTAGAACCTAGTTTAGGCTCCTACCATAGAGCTTAGATATGGCTAAGGTCTATGAGATCATATAGGATAAAGCCAGACGAGCGTAATTTTGTGAGTTGTGAGTCGCATTGTTGGAGTCGTGTAGTTTATGTTCATCGAGTATATAACCAGAAATAGAGACGAAATGTCATTTAATTTGTTTGAAAACTATTCTGCCATATCATTATCGTGACAACTGCACTCCGATTGGCTAGCCCGAGTTCGAAACAATTGACGGGTGTCGTCAACTGTTTCACATCAAATCGATCTTGTTAACTTGAGCTTTGCTATGGACGACAATTGCAAAAATACATTTTTAACATTTTATTGCCGATGAAATGTGATTCCGTTTGTTTTGTAATTAGCTGTTTTGTTGTTTTTTCCAACAACACGACATTGTTAGAGATATTATCTTTATTACAATAAATACTGAACAGTTTTTGGAATATACGGAGACGTACACACAGCTCAGTAGTTGGCCTGTCTATATTTCAGTGCAAACGAGAGTTGATATTTATAAGAGCTGTATCGCTAATGTGTTACCAGGAATATATGGCCCCTATTTCGTCTCTATTTCTGGTTATATACTCGATGTTTATGTTCCACTAAATTCGATTCGGAAGACACACGAACGTGTTTAATACCGTGTACCAGGTGTTTGTATTTATGTGAACATCCAGATGTGTAAGGTACCAACCACTAAATCAACTTATTATCGCAATTGTTAAACGATCAGTCACTTGAAAATCAATTATTATTGTTATATAGGTACACGTCAAAAAAAAAATGGGATCACTCATGAATGGTTGAAATCTTATCTTAGTAATCGAAAAGTTAAAAGTAAAAGTAAAAGAGTGGTCAACGGCAAAATAAAAAAGCATTAGATCGAGGTGTGGGCTGTACATTATTTTAATAAACATAAATAACCTCCCAAACATTGCAGTGCACTCTTTTTGCGCACGACATACCTACATCGAACGCTGAATTATCCTACAAGTTAGATTTCAACCTTGACAAAATAACAAATTGGCTTAAACTCCATAATTTACAACTCAACATAAATAAAACAATCTTAGTACAATTTCTACTTTTTGAAAGAAATGTATTACAAATCTCATATAAACATAAGAATACACCTTCACAAACTAAAACGACTCTACGAGTATTATCACTTGGAAGCAATATATACAAACACTGGCTCGCAAATTGTCATCATTAATTTATGCTCCTAGAAATTTGAAGAGAGTGACCGATTTTGAAACCTCTTAGTTGGCATACTGTGCTTATGCTCATTCAATACTCTCAAATCGCGTAATTTTGCGGGGTAACTTTTCAGACTTTAAAGTTTATATAAATAGGATCGTGCAAAGCTCTTTTTATAAAACACGACCTTCTCACTCTCACGTCAACATATGAGTACATTTTCGAATCATGTAAATTTGTAAGAAAATATAAGAATCTCCATACTATAATAACAATCTTAAAAATAAATAATCGAAATCTACACAAATAAAAAAAACCCTATCCAATCTGAAACTAGTAGCTCCAGTCCTCATTATATAGCAACTAAATTGTATAATAATTTACCTATTAATATTAGAAATATTTTGGAGTACAGCAAGAGTACAGTACATTTTAAATTAAGATATGGAATCTTCACCTATTTGTCTACTACCATTTTTATTTTGTAAGCACTTACCTCTCTTATCTTAAAATGCGTGTTAAGTGAAAATTTTATAAATATTATTGTTATTACTGAATGAATTATGAATAAAGAATTCTATTCTGTTGTACAAACTAATATTATTTTATTTGTATATTTTTGTATATTTAATATATAAAATATATTATTTTAATAATATACCTTTATTAATTATTGTATTAGGGGTTAAAGTATGAAATTGCCGT